CGATCCCGGGACTCCAGGATCATGACCTGAGCCGAAGGCAGGTGCTTAACGACTGAGCCACCCAGGCGCCCCGAACCCTGTGAATTATTAAGCAAAATTATTTTCCATTCAGCATCCATTTTATAAAAACATCCTTTTCTATTCCTCATTTAGAAACCACAGTATCCCTGGATTAAGACAAATATGTGAATACTGCCCAGGCAGTTACCTTCTTGTGAGGGGAAGTTTACTCCAGTTGTTGAAGGACCCAGATAAGTAAACTTCCTTTCCGCCCCCCGTCCATCGAAATACTGTTGGCCGAGCCTGGGCAGGGGCTTTATCATTCACTTCCAGATCATGCCGCCAAGCCAGGAATTCTTCCTTCTCTGGAGCCTAGAAACGGAACAGTTTACTCAGGGACAGGAAGCCATTAGTGAGCTCCCTACAATGGACAGTTACCCTAATGTAGACAATTCATTCTAAAGAGACAGCGATTACTACTTAGGTTCATATTCAGGCTCATTAACTTAATAGCGGTGCCTTGGTTTCTCCACTTGCAAAACAGAGATAACAAAAGCAACTATTTCTTAAGGTTGTTGTGAAAGACTGAGTGATAGGGTCCATGTAAATTGCTCTGCATAGTGTCTGACACATAGTGAGCACTTAATAATTATTAGCTGTTAATACTGTTGTGATTAAAGAGATCTACACCAAAATTTTAGTAGAAGCTACAGAACTCACTTGGAAGAGGATGCAATGAATTCAAGACCAGATAGATGTCATTTTCTTCCCTTAATTAACAAGATTTGAAGTACACGAAAATTTATTAGGAACAATTCCAGAGCTGTCAACTTGAAAACTCACAAATCCAGATTCTAAGGGAAAAAAATATTCAAAGTGGTGTTCAGGCATTGGGAATAAAAAGATAAGACACAGACTGACCCTCCATATGGCAAACAATGGCTTCTTAGCGCAGGTAGTGATGTATAACTGAGGTATTCCAAACTAAGAGAGAAATAAACACATCCAACTCTGGGAGAAATATATGTGCTTTTGGATCTTTTACATATTTACTAGTCAGAAACCAAAGATATTAAAAGAGCCGAAGATATTAAAGCCAAAGATATTAAAAGAGCGGGAGTTCTAGGCTGGGAGAGACCCTTAAAGGTGTCGATGAGTGAGCTTCTAAGACCTTCATTTCAAATATTGACCAGAGTTGTTTCTTTTTTTTTTTTTAAGATTTTATTTATTTATTTGAGAGAAAGAGAGAGCGCACAAGCAGGCAGGAAGGACAGAGGGAGAGAGAGAGAAGGAGACTACCCATTGAGCAGGAGGGCCGACATGGGATTCAATCCCAGGACCCTGGGATCATGACCTCAGCCAAAGGCAGACACTTAGCCGAGTGAGCCACCCAGGCGCCCTGACCAGAGCTTATCTTAAATGACGCCTGCTTTAAGACTGAACAAGATCTACAGATTAAAGAATAACAGACTGGAATCACTTGCCACTGAGAAGGTGATAACTAACCACAGCCAAAATGGTGAACTAGTGTAGCTAAAATAACCCATGACTTTTTTGGGAATACAGGGCATTCAATCCAGTGTCTCTGCTACATCATTTCAGTAACTTCTGAGGAAGCGATAATGGATACTATTTAAAATCATTGTCCACAGATTCTCTGCATGCTAAACGTTTCTTGTAGGAATTTTAGAACAGCAACAGAACAGATACTTCTAGAATAAAGTAGTTTGGTTCTTATGGTATCTTAAAGGCTATCCGTCCCTGGGCCACAGTTATTTCTGGGGGGAAAGGATATCAAGTCACTGGAAAAACAGGATTCCAAAGTTCACTTTGCATACAGGTCCTCAGGAATGCAACAATTTCAGAAAGCAAGTGCAAATCACAGGACATAAGGCCCAGTGAAAGACTCTTTAGACTCAAAGCCAAGATCCAAGTGAGGATTTAAGATCATAATGTGATCACCAAGCCCAACATCTGAGAAAAAATATGAGTAAAGGTGGAATGAGTTGCCAGGCATTAGCCTAATGGGCAATGATGATTAATATGCAACTGGATACTAACAGAGAATATGCTAGGCTGGGGAGACACCTTGATTTTTCCTAAACCTACTCTGTTGCATTGTCCTTAAGGGATCAGTTCTTCCTTTCTTAGGATCTACCACATACTTATCAGCTGCCAGAACCACTAAGTGCCCGTGGTTCTGGACACCAGGCGTGGGCCTTGCAGCTGGAAACACGAGACCCCATCAGGTAGTTAGCAGGCATGTGGCTGAAGCAGGAGTCAAGATTCATCTTCAAAGTTTTGATGAATTACAGCAGACCACGGTAAGATGTTCAAATTTGGCTTGCAAAAATGTTTGCTTTGGTCTCTCTAAAATCTTAAGTCATATTTACACAACAGGAGAGAGAAGGTGAGTAGCAACTGGCTCTCCCCCTTTCACACTGACACTTCACTCACCCACTGACCTCCAAAAGTGGATTTACTTTTCTGTCTGCTCTAAAGTGGCTTGGTGAACCGAAAGTTTCAGTTAGAATGAAACACCTCTGGCAACTACAGTCAGCTGTGTAACTCTACTTTCGGCTTACACATGTGCTCTGGGTTATCTCCAAAATCGACAATAAACTACAAAGCCAGCTATTACAAAAAGTGTCAGTCTTCGTAAAGGTGAGGAAAAATTTCTCAAAGCAGTGAAACTAATTATACCTAAGAGGAGAGCAGAGACTGGGGCTCATCTGCTGCTAGCTCAACGATCTTAATTAAGAATTTGAAACGCTGTCCCAGAGCTGCTTTCGCCTTAATGATGTTAAACGAAGTGCGTTCCTCCTCCCTCGGGGTGACTTCCTCATCGGTAATTAGACACAGGTTCCTGGACTGCTAAGAGGGCTCTTACCGGGCCATCTGGCTTTTTAAGTGCCCGGAGTTTAGTGCACTTAAGTTTTCCCACTTATGATGAGTTTTAGCGGGGGGGGGGGGATGTGGCGGGGCATCTAGGAGAGGGCTCCTCCCCTCAACATTAGACAAGGGGAGCCGGATTCCGTCACCCCCTCACCTTGATTTCCTCTGAGTGGAAGAGGTCGGCGTCCTCGGGACTGTCCATCAGGATCTTGGGCCTGTCCCCGTCCTTGGCGCCCCCCGAGCTGTCCCTTCGCGGCGTCTTGTGGCCGCCCTGCCGCTCCAGCGCGGCCCGCTCGCTGCTCGTATTGCCCATGGTGGGGCTCTGCGGGGACACCGGGAAGCCGGACGGGGCCTCACTCCAGGGAAGGGGCAGGGGACTCCGGCAACCAGCGGGTCACACGGACCTCGGGGAAGGAGTCGGAGCCCCGAGTACCACACCCCTCGGGCGAGGCTTCCGGGCCGGAAACCGGTTTGAGGCGGGTGAAAAAGACCTGCGAGGTTACTCAACCGCGCTTAAACCTATGAAGCCCAAAACACCCCGACACTTTGCCAACAACTCCCCCAGCTTTTAGCAACTTCCGCTTCCGGCGCGTCTGTGAGTCAGTCGGGATCCGGGGTGGGGGCGGCGGCGGCCGGCGAAGCGCATTAGGCAGTTCCGCTTCCGGTCCGGATTGGCGGGGTCGCAGCACCCTGAGGAGGCCTTCCTCGGAGCGCGCAGTCGCAGTCGGCTGCTACGACGGGACCGAGGATGAGGCTGCTGAAGGCCGGCAGGGGGCGTGCCAGCGCGCGGGCTGTCTGGGTCCCTCTCCCCGCGCTGGAATGAGTGATGCCGTTAACTATTTTATTTATTTTTTTTTTTAAGATTTTATTTATTTATTTGAGAGAGAATGAGATAG